ATACTGTATATAGAATGTTCCATCTTGTAAATTGAAATATTCTTATTTTCAGCTGAAGTGGATGAAAGCCTAGATTATTATTATTTTTAAGACTAGATTGTAGAGCAACATGTATTTGATGGGCTGTAAGTTAAATTGATGCAGTGTTCCAGTGCTTAAAATGTCCATAAATCATTCTCAGAATACACCAAAGACTTGCATTCTCATTCAAAAGCTAATCAGAGGAGATGTGTTAAAGCAAAAATACACAGGCTTGTCATTATGAGGTTTTAAATGCCCCATTACAAATTCTCAAAGAAACCAAAACCATCCCCGAAGGCATGTTACAAAAATAAAGGACAAAGCCAATAGACATAATGTTCAGCATTGAACTTGGGTTCAGGTTCCCTTTCTGTTGTGCCTTAGGTAAGTCACTTGCTGGCAATCTGTTAAATTGGTAGAAGTCATAAATTATTATCTTATATCAAAGTTTTAATTCCATAGTAACAAAAATACTATTATCAACATCATTAATTATTCAATGTCTTCATTAAAATATTGATTTTAAATAGTATCATTTTACAGTGGATAATTTTGTTATTTTAATAGTAATATAAAATAAAAATACTTTTAATTGTTGCTGCAAGATATAATCTGCTCAGTAATTTAATGAACTGATCTAATTAAACTTTTGATCACTTAATTTCTGAAGGGTTTTGATCAGCAAAGGCAATTTTTTGCCAATGGGACTTGAAAGTATGCTTGTTGATTATTTTCAAATTAATGTTAGTTTTGATTTGTTACTGTAACGTATTGCAGAAAGAAGAAAATGAATCAAAACATCACAAGAGGGTTTCCTTCTTGTAGTGGCCATGTCCAGACTTAAATTTCTAGCTGAACAAAATGTAATTTAGCTTATTCAAGTGAGCATTAGGCAATTGAAAGGCAGTAGGAAGAGTGGAACGCTGCATTACATTAAATCAAGGATCGTACAGGTCAGAGTTCTTGGGGGTCTCTTACTCACACGGCCATCATATATCAAAGTTGAATTGATGACAAATAACAACAGAGCATTGGGACCATTCATTCTCTTTTCTTCTTACCTTTGGAGGTAATTTAACTTCTTTGCTGGTAAATGGAAAATAATTCACATTTTCTCATTTTGGATATAACAAGAATTATAGCTTATATTAGTAACGAACTACCATTGTTGGCTAACGAAGAAGAATATAGGTCTATAATTGTATAGTGTAAAAGGACCAATGACAACTGGTGATTGATGTTCTTAAAGGCCCGTGTTCCAAAGCTGTTTCTTCACCATATCACATACTATGTGTCATGCATTTATGTGGGATAGAGAGATAGAAGAGTATTAATGTATTATATGGTATGTAAAACTGGTTGTTTCATGACTTTGGGCCTATCCAGACAGACGCATATACTGGGAGCTCTCTTGGTTTTTACCGATGCCTCTGGGAAAAATGCATTAATTCAGAACAAACCAAGTTTTTCTTGGTTTATTCCAAATTAATTAGATACCCCATTAGAGCCAGGCCCTCCTGAAAGGCCAGAATCTAATGGAGTATTGGGCCTGTGGGGACTCACTTCTGGGTAGCCCTGGGACTAACTGAGAGTGAATCCCCACAGCCATATTGCTTCTTTGGGCTTTCAAAAGCCAGAGGAACAGGATAGCACCCACCCCCTTCCCCCAACCCCCCATTTGCCCCTAAAAGTTAAGTAAAATGTACCTGGCTGTCATAACTTCCCTCCTCATGGCCTCCTGGTGTGGGGAAATAACATGTCAGAAGACCGGGGGGGGGGGGGGGGGGGGGGAGAGAGTTATGGTGGCCAGGTATGTTTTTACTTAACTTTTAGGGTGAAATTCAGGGGGCTCTGAGGTGGCTGCATGCCATTCCAATTTTAATTGGGATGGCATATAGCTGCTCCCTCTCACCCCTGGGAAAGTCCAGGTTTGGGGGGGGGGGCAGTGGGGACTGAAATTCGCAACAAAGCAGGTTTTATAAACCTGTTTTGGTGCAGACTTTAGTTCTCTCTGGAAGCACCCTTGGTTTTCTGTATAAAGCTCCTCCCAACTCCCAATTCTACAGTATGAAAATACCAAGAACGATTATAAGAAACTTCACCCAATGTCAAGTGATAACTATTTTAACTGATTTACACAGGTCACTCACTAGTGGAATTTACTTCTTAGAATTACAGAATCATATAGTTGAAAGAAACTGCAAGGGCCATTTAGTCCAGCCCCTGGCCATAGCATATTAGGAAATCTATACAAGGAAGATTACTCAATATAACAATACATGACTTACTCAAATTGTATTGTGAAGTATGTAGTGTGGAATTTGAACGTTTTGACTTAAACACATTAAATTTAAAATACCCTAGTAAGCAAAACAGTTATTTAAAATCGTGCACGTTTGAGATAAATGGCAGTACTGACATTCTAAAATCCAAAAGGGAGAAAAACTATTTTACCCAGAGGACATAATTATAGACTTTCTGAATATAGTATACTTTAGTCATATGCTGCATATATCAAGAGGATTTTTAAACAATATGAATAAGATTATGTTCAGGAGCTATCACATTATCCTTGCTTTTTCCTGTTATAAATAACTGAGCATTGAACTATTATATTGGTACTCACTCCAGTGAAAACCTTGTCTGTCAGCTTTATTCACAAACCTATTCTTCAATTATTCATTTCTTATATATGTGAAGATTAGCAGCTTAAACTCTTGTTTTCAAAAGTGAGACTAGAAATGCCTTTCACAATGACCTTGAGCACACAAGCCTTGTATCAAACTTCATTGTGTGTGTGTGATAATAAGTAAGAGATGATATATTTAAAATACAGGCTTTCAGAACACGTGAATTGCTTTCATGATAACATTAATTGTGCTTTTTAATGCTAAATATTTTCTGGTATGCGGTATCAACAAAGAAGCTTGTAGGCTTAAATGTGAGGGCTACCAGCTTGTAGTGACTGACAGCTCACATATGCTATCAAAATATAGTTGGCCATCACCTTTCGCAGGGGTTAGGGGCACAGAATCCCCATACCACCAGCAGCACCGTCAGTTCATCTGTCCCACCAGCCCCTCTTCTTCTCTTCCCTGTTTATTCCTGTTTCCTCGTATATCAGACTTTTCAATGATTAGTGATTTAACAAGGGAGAATTCAATGAGTTCTGTTCTGAATGGCAACTACATCAGCATGAGCATCATAGCAGCATTGTATAGATACAGCTGGGTGATGATTAATGCATATATGATTAAGTGTATGAGAACCAGCCTGGTTGGAATAACATTTCAAAAAATGAGGGTTGGAATATACTGTATGCTATGAAAACCCATTGGGTCATCTTTCTCAAGTTACATTCTTTTTGCAGACCACACACAAATTAGGAATGGAAAAATAAAGCCACACCTTTATTTCATTATAGCTCAATGCGAGGGTTGATTTGAACATGTGTCATCCAGACATCGACCAACCCGCCACTGAGCCAATGATCAGTAAAAATTATCTTTGGTAGTACTACGTTTCATTGATTACCCCAGTGGTCCTCAGACATTTTAAGCAGAGGGCCAGTTCATGGACCCTCAGACAGTTGGGGGCCCAGACTATAGTTTGAAAAAAACACAAACAAATTCATATGCACATTGAACAAAAAACCATGAAAGAACAATACAATATTTTAAAGGAAGAACAATTTTAACCAACATAAATGTACCAGTATTTTTATGGGAAGCATGAGCCTGCTTTTGGCTGATGATAGTTGAGTTATTTAGGTTCATTGTTATGGTGTACCTTCGTTTCAGACTTAGGGCTACCCTCAGTTAATGTTTAGAGTGAGTGCCGTGTCGCATCTGGCCCACGGGCCTTAGTTTGAAGACCCTTGGAGTAGCCCATTGGCCATATCAAAAACATTTGACAAACATATACCCATACACATACACATACAACCCACAGTACAACGTAAGTTAAAATAAACAAGCTGTTAGCAAGGTCCTGATCCAGATCAAATATCTGCATCACCTCTACAGTTTACCCCCAATCGACTCTAAATATGCAGTTCTTAGTTGTGTTGTTTTAAATAAAAAAGGGCTGTTTAAATGTTATTTTAGCATTCTGACCAGCCAATAAAAAGGTAGTTTAAATATATGGATCCCAGTATGTTTTTTGCCAATAAAATGAAGTTTTAATATATGGACCCCAGTGTGTTTTTTGTATAATATATGGCTCAAGGTATTGATTTCTCTCTTTCTTGTACAAGTCACAACTAAACAGTACATGTGTGATATCTTCTACCTCTGACGCTCCACAGATACAAAATTGTCCATTATATGGAACTTGGTTAAACCTTCCATGTATCCAGCTGTTCAAATCTAGTTCTGGTAAATACTCTCCTTACAGCTAAATGTGAGACTTGACTTGAGTCTGTGCCTTCCAAACATCGACCAACTCGCCATTGAGCCAGTGATCAGAAACAATTGTCTTTAGTGCATTAATCAGAATGTTAACAAATGTGATTAGGCAGATATAAGAAGGCAAAGGACAATAGTGGGATAGAGAGGTTGAGAGGAAATTTATTTATGCCACTCATGGACACATAAACATCTGTTTTCTTCAACACAGCAATAAAATGATGTCTAAGTGTTTTGTTTGTTTTGTTGTAATAGTAAAACCTACAGTAGTCCATTCAAAAAGCTTCAGGGGGTAATTAGATTCACCGGTGCTGCCTGGAGTGTTCATCAAAGGAAAGGTTACCATCTCTTACCATTTCGGCAAGGTCTATTTTCCAGCCTTTAGCAAGTTGGATTTTGAAATGATGAACATAAATGTGTTATACTGAACTTTAGAATACCTTTTCATATTAATTACAGTGCCAGCGAGAGTCCTTGCATACAGATAATGATTCGCCTTCTAGCCCTTAAACTTGGTTAACATTTGTCTTTATAAAAATATATTCCTTTGTCTCTGCATTTCCCATTCTGCAGTACTGGATACCAATGTATTTACTATTCACCTGAAAACACAGCTAAGGCAAAAGAAGTTCTCAGTAACATCAATCATCTCCAGCCTCTCATATCAAGCCACGCAGACCTGCTGCTTAATTCTGCAAGGCAGCACTTGCCAGACAGCTTGAAGAATTCGTTAAAGATGCTTTCAGAAACGGTAAGATTCAAAAATGGTCCCTGCAGTGGCAGCTAGAACTACCAGATCCCCAGCTGATCCTGCACTCAGCATAAATTACATTTCCTTTGTATGAGGAAATGTTAAATTATTCTGGAGGCTACAAGCTTCAGGATACTGCCACAGGAAAATGACACTGCCTTTCTAATACAATTTTAGGTAGGTGTTGTGATGTGCAAACCTACAACACTTCACTAATGACAGCTATCAACTAAATGCAGGCTTCTTCTGGTCTTCTTTGGAAGATTTTCAGATATTTGTGTAGGTTTTAAACATGGAGAGTAGAACATTTAAGTCAACATATTTTTATTTTTATATGTAAACTGTAAAACTACCAAAATATATGATTATAATTAAGTTTTATTTTTAAGGAATAATTCTTAGTCTGGTAGCCATTTTTCTGCCCATATATGGTAAAGGGCTTTCTTGTAAAATCTTGAGCATCACTTTGTTTGTATGCAATAGAACAGTGGAGTGTCTCACAACAAGCTGGATAAATTCTCCAGAAGAGAGACTGCCTTTGGTAGAGTGGTGCTTTTCTTCTTCTTCTGTGGCATGACTCCCCTCCTCCAAGGTGCATAGCTTGCTAGCATGGATGAGCACCCTCTGACAGCTCCAGCTCCCCATGTGGGGACATGAGAGAAGCCTCCCACAAGGATGGTAAAACATCACAACATCTGGTCACCCCCTGGGCAACGTCCTTGCAGATGGCCAATTCTCTCACACCAGAAGTGACTTGCAATTTTTCAAGTTGTTCCTGACATTGAAAAAAAACATGCTAGAGTTTTGAAAACATCCCGATGTGTAAGAAACGCAGCAAATGTTTGTAGCTAAAATGTATAAAATATATTAAATAGAAGCAACAAACATAAAAGTTATGTTTTTTAACAAAGGATTATTTGCATTTTGTAATCCTCTTCTGATACTCAAAAGCAATTAGAATGTAATGTGAAACACAAAATATAAGAGGTTTTTAACTATGAAAGCAGTCTTCTATCATTCCATTTTGCAAGTTGGAGTGTAATTTATACCAAATTTCTATGCAGATGGAGTGAAAGGTAAACTGCATTCAGTAGACTATTTCCTCGGTATGTTTGTACACAATCCTGCTGTAAAAACATATGATAATGTTTCACCAGTACAAGTTTAGATGTGTAATCTAAACACACTGTATTTTATTCCTTAGTTCTGTACATTTCCTTCATGTTGTTGACTGCACACTCTTTTTCATTCTAGACAGAGTTATTTGTGCATGCATTTAAGGATCAACTGATCAGAAGTGCCCTTCTAGCTCTATATACAGCCCGTCCAGGCTGTGTCCTAAAAAAGCCAACAGTGCCAAGGAGTAATGTTGAAGACAGTGGTGATCAGCCTATTCAGGACCATCCTGTTCAGATCAAGAGACAAGATTCTATACCCCACCATTCAGAATACGATGAAGAGGAGTGGGTAAGTACCTTCAGAATTACATCATTGGCTCTCAGAAATCCTGTGCTACAAGCATGCAATCGCAATTTGTCAATTATTTGTACCTTTCTAGGTTTTTCATTGTTCCCAAGGGCCACTCATGTTAGCCAATTGCAATAACACAAAGAAACAAATTTATTGTACACAGACAGCACATATAGTGAAATGTACATTTATTCGCAGAATAAAATACACTGCAAGGTTTATGCCCCAATAAAAGCAGTAACATTTAGTATGCAATATGAATGTCCTTTTGGGTTTATTTAGGAAGTAAAATATTGGTTGCAAAAAACAAAAATATCATTACAGTTTGTGTGTTTTTCTATTTATTTTCTGCATTAAGATGTCAAAATAAAATCTTTCAAACATAAGTTGACTTCTTTTGGACAAAATTCTGCTTTTCTATGTGTTAAAGCGCAAATACGTGTTTCCTGTGCATTTTACAGTAAAACATACATTTTGTTTGGGTTTTATTATAAAACTGGCAGAACTATGGTTCTGCATGTAATATTTGAAAAATTTCAAAATATTTTAGAGCTGCTCAAGGCGGGCACATTTATTTGTCCTGTATTAGTGAAGCTATGGCTCAACTGACCTATGCTTTTTCTTTAATCCATTGATGTGGGGAAATTGAACCTTGTCACAATTATAGCTAACACCGGGCAGTTCTCATTTCCATCTGTTTGCATGAAACTGGAAGCAAGGTGGTGACACTTAGCCACTTGTAAGTGATGAATTAGAACCATTATCCAGGACCAAATTGCTGAAGAACACTGTTTTCTCAACATGGCAGCTTTGCTTCTATTCATTTTTTGTGCTTTCCTTTCTTGAAAACGCTGTTTTGGAGTTACATCTGCTCCAGATGTTCTGCTTTCTACTCTTCCTGCAGCTCTGGAGACCCAATTGCTTTTCCTGTAGGTGTTTCTAGACATATTTTCACATGATGGCTTCTTATAGAATCCATTTGTAATAGGTAGCATTGTCCATAATAATAAAATATAACATGTTCCAGGTGTGTGTGTGTTTCTACAATAATTCCAGTACCATGGAATTTGGCCTGAATACTTTAAAGTATGCACCTGAGATTTATTTGTTTTTAAAATCAATTAATTTTAGTCAGTTTTAATCTGTCTGTAATTTGCAATAACATCTCCACTCATTAGATGGCAGAATTCCCTAATCACCTTTAGGGATAATTCCCCCCACTTTTCATATGTAAAAATTTAAATCCAAAGGCTGCTTTGAAAAGTTGAGAAGTGTGAAATTGAAAGAATAACTTTATCCTGATTTGCATATTGTTCATTTGGGAGATGTGAGTCATTCTGATCTAATTCAAAATGTGGAGAAAACAAAATTGTCAAACATAACTATCGTTGCAATCCCTTATGTTCCTGTAGTACTTGTTTCTAAATCCCATATATTCACCTTTGTCTGAATCCTTCCCCCCACTGTAATGCAGTCCTATCTATGTTAACTCAGAAGCACTAAATTAATTGGTTTTACTACTAGGTAATTAAATGTTATATTTCAGCTATATTTATTGCTAATATCCACACTGAAGTTATTCATCTGTATCAAATATCTTAGGGCCCCTCCAGACAGGCCCATATCTGTCTAGGTTTTTTCCAGAGGTGTCCAAACAATGCCTTCAGTAAAAAGGAATTAATTTGGACCAAACCAGGGTTTCCCTGGTTGTTCCAAATTAATTAAATACTTGGTAAGATCCGGATATTAAAGATGGACCGGGGGATGGCATCATGCAATTCTCGGGCCCAATCCACACAGCCATCTCAATTTTTCAGGCTCCTGGAGGCCAAAAGACTGAAAGGGCACCCACCCCCAAACCCCCCAATTTCCTCCTAAAAATGAAATAAAAGTTACCTGGCTGCCATAAGTTTGCTCCTCGTGCCCTCCTAGCATGAGGAAATGAGGTGCCAGGAAATTGGGGGAGGCAAGGAGGGATTTTTCTCCTCCCCTCTCCCCCCCCCATGTCAATCAGGTACATTTGATCTCATTTTTAGGGGAAAATTAGAGTGGGTTCAGGGTTGCTGCATGTCACACACACATACACAGCCCAGGGTTTTAAAAACCCGCTTTGGTGCTGATTTTGGCATGTTCTGGATGCTTCGATCTTTTTATCATGCATTTCTTTTTTGCTCACTTTTCTCTTCCACCTGTTATAGGTAAGAAGTAATTACAACAGTAATTTTTCTTGCTGCAGGAACAGGAGGACCAACACAACAAGAAACACTTAGGCAGTATTAACTAAATAGCAGCCCTGGGTGTTTTGGAGCACAACCAACTTCTGCTCATCAGCTAAACTTTTTGGGTTCAAAAGGAGTTGAAGCCCAAAATATTTCTGTGCATGAAGTTGCCAGAGGTCAACTTAAAAGATAAAAAATGGTATCCTTAGCCTTAACATTCACCAACTTCTCACAAAATGTGATCCCTTGTCATGACAATGAACTCACCTAAATTCTCCAACTGATTCTTTTACACTTGTCACACCACTCCCCTTGCTATTATCTTTAATTTAATTCCATTTTACCAAACTTATTACTGAATCATATTTTATTGTGTTTTAATTTATTTTAGTTAAATAGTACAGGAGTTTTAGAGCAGTGATTAGTGCCTATTTGTCTGTTGTATTTTATTGTTTATATGGTCAGTAGACTAATCAATAAAAAGATCTATCTACCTAACATTCACCATGTTATCTGTGTATCCAGTAATCATCTTTCTTGATTCTATAATTTGCTGATAGACCTGTGCATTGTATGTTTTTGCCCTGTTGCTAGTCTTAATTAGATTAGACCGATTGAAATCCATGGGATTTACATTACGTTTGTCTTTTTTTTTGCAAATAATTCAGCAAGTCTTCTCTAGTTGGGACAGAAATTTGGATTTAGGCTGAAGTGAGATTTGGTGCATTGAAGGATGTAGTTCTGGGAATGTGCCAGTGCCCCGAACGCAAAGAGGAACTGATTCTCTTCTGTTCATGAAAATTTACTGACCTGTTACCTGCAGGCAGTTTTGCTCACCACAGGCAATCTGAGAAATGGCTATTTAAAGTCTGGCTTAATTTCTGTTTCCTCCAATACCTTACAATACAGAGAGCAATCTGGGACACAGCTTGCATTCTGTGAAGCCAGAATATAAGAATTGCCTTGTTCAATCAGACCAAAGATCCCATCTGCTCCAGCCGATCTTTTTTTTTTTAAAAAAAAAACAGCAGCCAGACGGAGATACCCATCAGTATCTCATAAGCAAGAGATAATATTTGGGGGCATGTGGGGGTAAACATTATATTCTTTCTTTCTCCCACCCTGGACTTTCTATAGATATATAAACCCAATTTTCCTAGTTTTCAACAGACCTCACAACCTCTGAGAATGCCTGCCATAGATGCAGGCAAAAATCAAGAGAGAATACTTCTAGAACATGGCCATACAACCTGAAAAACCTACAACACCTCAATAATATTCACCCATGCATTTGTATTGAAATTTTGTACATGGCATACAATACCAAAGCAAGGTATGTTACATTTATGAAACTCTATCAAAATTAAAGAGAGGCTGGAGTGAAATCCATTTATCAATAGTATAGGTGGACTTTTGCCCTACCTTTCAGGATATGTTTTCTTTTGAAAAAGAGCAGGTGGAGAATTAGAGGGAATCTGCCCAGAGTGGGTTCATAATCTGACCAGCACTGCTTTGGAAAATGGGATGGGGTTCTCCTTACAAGTTTTCTAACAGCTCAGGCTCAGATTTGTTCTCTGTGCCATGATGTGCCTAACAAATGTGAGGAGGCACTTGAAGATCAATGCCGATTAAGCTGCTGAGTAAAATGTAATTGCCAATAGTATTCATAGGCAGCACCACAGCAGTGCTAACCTTATAAAGAAAGATATTTTACCTGGTGGGTACAGATTGTCTCTCAATAGTTGCTCCCATTTTCTCATGCCAGCTGTTTCTATCCTTCTAAAGTTTTCCTTCAGGGAGGATAAAAAGCCATGCCATACATAATGCAAGAGTTAGGTAGGCAGAGTGCCATTTGGAAACCACCGCTGTATATTTCTCTCTGGTTGACATGGCTGGGTGTACACTCTGAATAAATAGAAGAGCATGGTGGAATTATAAATCCAGGCTTGACTTGTCCAAATCCAATAATTCTTCATCACAAAACGTTTAATAAAAAGTAAGCAAGCCTTTTGTATTGTGGAGAGTAAAAGTGTGGTTTACTGAAGCTGATCTATTACATTGAAGACACGATGACCAAGAGATCATTGTCCTAGTAAACAATTTTCCAATGTTACATCTTTTTATACAAATCTTTCATACAGTTCCTTCCCATGAGACATAAAAATGAGTTGTGTCAGCTATACCCTCTGCAGTGTGGACAGGAGCAAAGAAGATATTCCTTACCTTGGTGTCATTACCATCAAGTGGCTCCCTTTATGTTCTTACCATATATCAAGGGAACCACTGACCTCATAGGGAAGCTGATGAAGAAACACAACCTACAAACTATCTACAGACTCACTAAGAAAAACCAACAAATGCTACATTCAGCAAAGGACAAGAGGGATCCTCTCACCTTTGCAGGAGTCTACCGTCTACCGTGCAGCTGTGGACAAGTCTACATAGGAACCACCAAACGCAGCATTGCCCAAAGAAGAATCAAGGAACATAAAAGGCACTGCAGACTACTTCAACCAGAAAAGTCAGCCACAGCAGAGCACTTGATGAACAAACCTGGACACAGCATATTATTTGAGAACATAGAAATGCTGGATCACTCTAACAACCACCATGTCAGACTGCACAGAGAAACCATTGAAATCCACTAGCATGTGGACAATTTCAACAGAAAGGAAGAAACCATGAAAGTGAACATAATCTGGCTACCAGTCTTAAAAAACTCTAAAGTTATAAATGTAAATAAAGAACAACACTCAAAAACAAGGGAATTCCAGACAA